CCCCCCCCCCCCCCCCCATACAAACACACTCACAAACTATCCAAACTTATACATATAAATGCTTTGGAAAACAATCGTTATCAATTATATTTAGCATCAACTTTAAAGTAATTTACATTAAATGCATCTAGGAATCGGGAAAGGTTCTACAAGGTTCTACATGCATGTATACTTCATGCACAATTTATTTTGCGTTGTTTATGAGTGATAGACTATTTGCCTTTAGTATAGTTTTGTTCCATCCTTGAAAGTTATATTTACCTTACTGGTCTCTTTCTTTTTCTTTTAGTTGTTTACTTCACAGTATTGTTCATGTTATGATGTACATGTAAGGCATCGTATATCAGGCGTTTAAAAAGTCACTATAATTTGGCAGTTCAGTATCGTCACCATTTCACGGCCCCTTGGATTGGAAATTTGCACAGAATGGAGAAACATTAATTCCCGAAAATTTCAAGTGTTAAAGTGAAATCATTGAAAAATTGGCAACACTAAGATAGTATTCGACTATTGAGCATTGATTAAAAACATCACTTTTTAAAAGAATATCCTACATAATATTACAGTTTCTTTAAAACTGTTGAATTAATTGAACTTTGAAATTAGAAACGTTTTTTTTTTTCAATTAGAGTTATATGTAAAAATTAATAATGGTAACATTACTACTAGTACTACTACTTCTATTCATAACAATAATAATAATGATATTATGCCTTTATATTTAACTCTATACCAAACCCAAGTTCAGCCAATCTAACCAGGTCCACCAGATCCTCCTCTTCTCTTTGCTTAAACAGGAATGACAACAAAAACATCCAAAAACCTACGGCCACTGGGTATTTTCAATTGCAGCACCCTCTTAATGAACATACCTCACACATTCGGACTACTTATAGTGTTGAGGTTTTTAAAACACTTTAAAACAATCTTATTTACACAGAACGTCAATTTATTTTACCAATTGAAATTATATATTTTCTCATTTTATCATAAAAAAAGATATATCTATTAGATTATTACTATTATAAACAGCATGAATTATTTTAATTGTTTTATTCACCACAGTTTTCAGTATTCGTGTATTATTTGTAATTCTGATAATTTTATTTGTAAACAGCACTGAGACGATGTATAGTGCGCTTATTAAAATATATATTATCATTGTTATTAATACATTTAGTTTAGTTCTTAAATCCATTTAAAATGATCAGTTGTCCAGTAGAGTTTACAAGTGCTTGATAACAAAATTACCCCGATATGTAAAAATGAAAATAAGCTTAAAAACCAATTAAAAGTAAGATAATCAAAAATGGAATTTTCTGAAAAGATAAGGATTAAACTCTTTTTTACCAGCTGATTCAATTGAGCAAAATTCAATTGGTAGCCTTTTTCATTCCACCTGACCAGCTGACTTAAAAGAGATGTCCCCATAAAGTTTAAGCTTCAGTAACACTCTATAGCTGGTCTCAGATTACTGATAGGAGCATAATGAACAACTAAAACGTTTCAGTAAGTTGGTAGCACTTTGTAAAATGCATCAGGGACAAAAGCTATAAGAAGTTAAATATAACCCCGGCTTGACGTCTCAGCCAATGCAGTTCTTTTATAATCGGTGTGAAATGATTAACCATAGATGTACGAGTAAATAATCTAGCAGAAATGCTTTGAATACACTGTAGTCTTTTTAGCTGTTTTTGGGAAATCCATATAAAAGAGAGCTACAATAAACAAAGACTCCGTGGCTGTAGCTGCGACAGAATCCCATAGGTGACGACAAATTGTGTCTATTTCTTATGTTACATACTGCAGACTTGCGTATACCGGGTACTAGTATTCGCTTGTTCATGGAAAGTGTTCCTTCCATATTGTTGCACCCATTTCAGAATTCTTCATTATTGTCGCAATTAAGTTAACAAATACATCATCAATTAAAATGGACAAATGGGGATGCAACATCACAGAAATGAAGGATCATGGAGGCAAAAATTACACTGGTAATTGGTAGAAAATTCTTGAGAGGACAATGAAGGTTGGCTATCCATACACTCCACACTTGTTTTTTTATATAAGTGAATGCATTGCATGAATGTCCTTAGTGGAAGGACGTTGATTTTCTGAGAAATAACGTGTAATTATTTTGACTGTTTAGCAGCTTGTGG